TTAAGTTTAAAGTTGACCATGACTCAGAGCCTCATTATTTGGTCTTCCTGGACCAACACACAGCCAGGTGATTGAAGCCCCAGAACCAAGCCTATAGCCCTTATTAATCTTCAGTTGTGTACAGATGTCAATCATGGTCCTTCCCTCATGTTTGTAGTCCTGCCTGATATAATGATGAACTGAACTACCACCAATCATGGTTTTGTGGTGATTTTATTTTTATTTTTTTAATCATATATAATTAGCCCCATGGCCATGAGTCAGCAGACTCCATTTGGTTTCTGTACTGTGTATATGTTGATGGTTTTCCTCATCCTGGATGATTACCTTTGTTTTGTCTTTGTCCTTTTAAGGCTTATTAAAAGGGTATAGTGCCTAAGGCATTTCACTGCTAACCAGAATGCTGGTGGTTCAAACCCACCAGCCACTCCTCAGAAGGAAGACTGCACAACCTACTTCTGTAGAGATACTGCCTCGGAAACCCAAGGAAGGGTCACTATGAGTTGAACCAACTTGAGGCAGTGCAGTTATAGAAAATGTTTGAATCTGGGATCCTTTTTTATCCTCTAGCACAAAATCTATGAACTATATTGATTTAATTTCTGTGAAAGATTTAAACTTTGGTGTATTTTATTTTATTTGCATGTGTCCAGTTGTTCCAACAGCATTTGTTGAAATGATGATCTTTGTTTCTATTTTTGTTATGACAGAAGGAACTTGAATAGAAAATAAAAGTTGTTTACTACAAACAAATATGTTGTGCCTTGGGAAAAGAAAGTAAAGAATTAAAGAGAAAAGCCTCTTTCAAGAAATTCAACTGTCACTGACAGTGTACTATCTGCCAGAAAATATACCAGGCATGGTCAATACAAAAGTGAGTGAAGACACAGTTTATGTTATCTTGTAGCATGTGTTCTACGAAGATAGGCAGGCAAATGTACAGACAATTAAAGAATGCAGAAAATGCTGTGATCAAACTGAAAGCAGAGAGCTTTAAAAACTCAAGGAAGGGCCATGCAACTCAATTTGGTGCATCAGGGAATGATTTCAGCAGGAGATAATTTTCAAACTTGAATATGATGAGCATGTATGAATAATTTAAGAGTCAGGGGTTTGCAGGTTGTTATAAACAAACGATTCATGTGTAGCAACCATTCTAGGTATGAGAGAGAGTGTGCAGGTTGAGATAAATAACCATTTTTCAACACATTTATAATTTCAGAAAAATCAGATTTAATACTAGTATTTGCTGATAATGAACATATGTTAAAGTCAAGTGGAAGTATTGTCAAAATACATAACTATCTTTGGCTGAAAATATAATGTCAAAATAAAACTTAACATTCACATTTCTAGAAAATACAAATATGAAGTACTCAGCATTAGAGAGTAGAGATTGGAAAAGCAGAAATAAGATGGCATTATGGATTAAATTGTGTCCCCCAAAATATCTACTGGCATCCCAAAGCCTATATCTGTGCTTATAATCTCATTTGGAATATAGTTTTCTTTATTATGTTAATGAGACTGTATCAGTGTGTGTTAAACCTAATCACTTCTGAGTAATAAAAAAGCATACTAAACACAGAAGAAAACTCAGAAAGGTAGAAGATAGATGCCACATGAAGATTGCCAAGAGACTGTGGAATGTCAGAGCTACAGAAGTAGAGAGTCAAAGATCTTCCTTCTTCAAAGCTGACAGCTTTTTCATATAGCTGGTGTTCTGAATTTAGATTTCTAGCCTTATGAACTGTGAGAAAAATAAACTTCTGTTCTTAAAGCTGTCCATTTGTGATATCTCTGTAACAATAGCACTAGGAAACTAAGGCAGATAGCAATGTACAAAATTAGATTTAAAAAGTATTTGATGAAAAATAAACCATTAAATATCTCACTTAGAAAACAATTGCAGGGAGGAGTTCCAGCAAGATGGCAGAATAGGCAGACAAGCTGCACAGATCTTCTGCAACAAAGCAGTGACAAACCAATTGAAAACAATCCAGAAGATGATCCTGGAACCCTGAGCTTTGAAGACAAGGATAAAGAAGTGGATTAAATACCAACTAGTAGAAGAACTTGAATGAAAACAGTAAGTAATGAAACAAACAGAGCTGTGGACTGCTGGCTGTCCTGACGGCACAGCCGTTTTGAATATATCCCAGTAGCAACCTAAGAATCGGCTCTCTGACTAAAGACTGCATGGGCAAGGACTGCATTGGTGCCTGACAACCAGAAGGAAAAACAGAGAAGAAGAAACAAATAGACCTGTGGACTGCCATTGGCTGTCCTGAGGGCACAGTCATATCAAATATTTACAAGTTGTGGGCACCACTATTTTGAATATATGCAAGCTGCTTTTTTACCTGAGTGACACAGGAGTGGGCCCAGCTTGCCGAGGACATCACTGGCAGCCACACTGGACGTTGACTGGAGGCTGACAACTGGGAAGGTGCCATAGTCCCCTTGTTATTCTTAAACCCCAAACATTCTTGGTGAACAAAGGTGTAGCCATCCCCCACCTCCACCCACCTTCTTGACCAGCAGGAATTCAATCCCGGTCTGTGCCCTGACAGAGCCTGGGTGCTGTGCCCTGCCTTCCCACAGTTTTGTTTTTGATTGTTCTTTTTTATTTTTAAATTACTATTTTTCTTCCTTTTTTTTTTCCCCTTCTTCTCTTTCCTGTCACACTTCTTGTTTTGTTCTTTTTTTTTTTTTGCTTCTCTTTTCCTGGTTCCTTTTATTTTCTTTCTTTCTTTTGGTTGTTCCCATGCCTTGCTTCCTTTTGGCTGTTTTTCCATTCATTCTTTACTATTCTTTTACTCTTACTTTTTTCTCTCATTCCTCCTTCCCCAGATAATGTGGATTTTTTTTTTCTTTTTCTCATTATCTTTCTTTTATCATTTTTAATATATTCTCAATATTGTTCTTCTCATTTATTGCATTTTGTGTGTGTGTGTGTGATTGCTCCTATTGGCCCTGCTCAAGTTTTTGTTCTCTTGCTTTTACTTCTTTTGGTATTATTATTATTATTATTATTATTATTATTATTATTATCTAACTGAGTGGAAGACAGCAACTGTTTCAATACAACCCAACTAATTATCTGTACCTCCTGTAGCCTCACCCACTGCTTGAGGAGCACCAATTGCTTTTTCACCAATTAACCAATGTTAGGTGGTAGCCCATACCAGCTCAAAATTGGAAAAAAAAAAGAAAAAAAAAAACTCACTGCCATCAAGTCAGATCCAACTCAAAGTGACCTCTCCTTGGGTTTCTGGGGCAGTATCACTAGGAAAGCAGATTGCCCCATCTTCATTCTGAGAAGTGGTTGGTGGGTTTGAACCACCAGCCTTCTAGTTAGCAGTCAAATGCTTTAGGCAAAATGCCACTAGAGCTCCCATACCAGCTCAACTGCTCATTACGAACAGCTAACAGAGAGCTGTGCACACATGCTCAGTCTCTTTCACACATGAAACATAAGTATAATATCACCACAATGTCTCAGAGACAACAGAGCATTACAGTCCACACAAAGAAGCAAGACAAAGTAGTAGAAACAAGAGACAAGGATACAAACCCAAAAAACATCTCTGAGAAAGAAGCAGCATTGGAACTCCTTGATAAGAAATTCAAAAGAATTATATTTGGGTACCCTCAATGGATGGAGATCAACAATCCTTCAACAGATCAAGGAAAACACTGACAAAATTAAAGGAAACACAGACAAAACTCTAGAACAATTTAAGAAAACAATGCAAGAATAAATCGAAAAAATAAACAAAAAATTAGAAATGATACAAAAACAATAAATAGAAATCCAGAAGATTAATACTAAGATTTCAGAACCAGACAAAACATTGAGTTGATTCTAACCCATAGTGATCCCCATTGAATTTTCGAGACCGTAAATCTTTATGGAAATAGATCACCCCAATTTCCTTCCACAGAGCAGCTGGTGGGTTTCAACCACTAACCTTCTGGTTATGCTGAAAAATTGTCTATCAAATATGAGGGTGAAATCAGGAGATTTCCAGACCAGCAGAAATTAAAGGAATTTGTTAAAACTAGACCAACTTTACAAAAGATGTTAAAGGGAGTCCTTCAGACAGAGAACCAAAAACAGCAAACAATTGATGATTAACACCTGAAAACATAACTGAGAAACCAAGCCAACTATAGAAGTAACTGAAGGAAAATACGCTTACAAGACTGTAAACAGAGAGCCAGAGACACCAACTGGTAAATGAGGACAACTACAAACCAAAAAGAGGGAATAAATAGTGTAGTTACAGAAGTTCTAAATGGTGAGGAAGTCAAGACAATTGTGAGATAGAAGAGACTTATAAACTTGGGAAGAAAATAATAAATTCCAGGGTAACTGCAAAGAAAAATAATAAACTTCTGCATCAAAATAAAGAGGACAAGCAAAGATATTTAGCAAATACTAAAAAAAATAGCAATGAAGGAGATGATAATATGACTCATAAACAAAATTAGCTCAGCACAGAAAAATATATGGAATGAAGAAATCAGCAACATCATAAAAAAAAAAGACATCAATAAATTCATACTTGTCAATGGA